CGTGGCCTTATAAGGGACTGTTACCGATAGGCGTCCAGATGATATGACTCCAGTGGCATTGCGACTGCTGGCAATTAAACTGGGAATTATGGAAGGAATGTTAGTAATGGGGTAGGGAGGGGAGTAAGAGACATGTGGCAAAGAAAGAAGGGAGGCGCCAGCAGTAGCATGTTTTCGCTTATCCGCCCTGCTATATGCAGCAGGCAAGGAGGCCATTGATAATCTGCGCGACGGCTGATGTAGAATGTAGTCGAACTTTGATGCAATGGCCAAGGTTTTACGTGGGCGCCCCAACCTAGATAGGAAAACGATTAGTCTTCAACCAAAGTCATTAGCTCAAAAACCTATCCGCAAATGGAAACGATTCGGTTTTACTGTGTAATGAATACTGTATCATGAGAGCAAATGAACGCCATCTCATTTCGAGCAGCGAACCTGGATAACTAGGAGACTGTTTTTGTCTGACACTTATTCATAGACCAAAGTGTAGCAGCAGCTTTCAATAGACCTGCGGACAGAGCCATTGTAGCTCAATAGGTCGAAGGAGTACGCAAACTGTCGAACAACGTTATAATTTAGTCTTGCTGCGACGAACTGATCAGTGCCTATACATTCGCAGTTCGAAAACAGGTTAGATCAACCATAACCAAAAACAAATGATCCAGGAGACACGTATTTCCATTCGATGAAAAGCAAGCACCTAGCAGTTAGCTCTGGTGTAAGGAACACAACAGTGCGTCCCTGAACTCAAAATGAAGAGGTGAATGAATAATGCGCGTAGGCCACATCCAAATCCCTACCAGGAACCGGTGGCGTATCGATTGGTTGTCACTTCGCACGTAGTCGCCTGATGTCGAATCCGTTCAAACTAGCTTAAAAATCACCGTAACGTAAAATTCCTGGCTCACACGTCAAAAGTGACTGCGGATAGCGCGCGCCGGATCTACTTTTAAAACTTCGTTGTCAGGACAGTTTGCACCGTGTAGTTTCTTGCGCGTAACTGTATTTTCGTTTTATTTTTCTAGTAAAGTCACTCGCCTCCGATCCTGAATTCGTGTATCGTGTATACGTGCCAGATCAGCATTCCTCGTGTAGTTATCCAATTATCCGCTTATCAATCGATAGCCACACATTTTTGTTACCATATTTGCTAGGATATGACAGGGAACGAGCAAATTCCCTGTGGTATTTGTTGCGAAAATTGTCGGAGATAGTGCAAATGCTGTTACTCACTTGTGTCATATGAACTTGCATATTTCGTGCGTTGGTCTATGAACTGACCAAATTAAAGTTCTATGCGGGATTCAGAACAGAGCAAAACAACCACCCAATTCGGAGAACAAGTCGAAATCTACATTAGCACTAGTTTGTTCAAATATTTTGTAGTGTGGACCAGAGCAAAATGTAACCAGAAAAAGTCGCTGAACTTCGCGAGCCAGCAAAGTTAGAACGTTCCATGCGCTCATCCCAAAAGGCGGAAAAGGTAGCCGCTCTTATGTTCGAACGAACCCACTTGCCCGTCAGTTACAAGCTCGCCGGAACGATGTGCATCGGTTAGTGGATACTCACCTGGTGTGCCTGTGCTGTGTCCTACGGGCACTAACATCCAAGTGTGCGATAGTGTTGGTGAGGGTAAAAAGAAAACGTAAAGAAAGAAAGTGAGCATCTGTCGGTGACCAGAGGCGTTGCAATCGCGTGATATTGCATGGGCCTAAATGCGAGTTTTCGGGATCTCTATGATCATGATGTGTAGAGTTTCTGCAGAGACTGACTGGTAAACTCCTCGAAGTGAGTAAACAGAAGTTAAGGGTGAAAAACTCATCCGTTTTGGAAATAAATAAGTAGACTCGGCTTATAGGAGTCATTTATGTTGATGAAGCATGTCCGAAATTGATACCATCCCGCCTCGGTAAGCTAAGGTCGAAGATTCATATATCCCCATATATGGATCCGGCAGAGCGAGAAAAACGCAAGTCTGCTAACACTAAACTAAAGCAGCGTACCGATGGCCAGAAAACCAATTTCCGCATTGTAAAATTTCGGGTAGTCCTCCAGTTTTGCTAAATCCGGATCAACAGATCGATGACGCTTCATGCGCTTCTGACGTTTCCTACCGTGGTATGGACGAAGTCTCCACCAATGTTTACAGTATGGTGAATAAGCGTGGTGAGTTGTACCATTTCGTCACCTCTCGGTAGTCGGACTTATTACGACTGGCTGGGATTCATTTGAAGCCTCAGTGGCCACGTGTGTTTCTGGTGCGGTATACTTTCAAACGACCGCGAGGAGACTAGTAAGCTTCCAGCGAAGAGATGATGGCCTATGCGAGTAACTGTGGTCCTCGATCCACCCGAGACGTGGTGTACTGTTAGTAGGAGTGGCTTATAGCAGGCCGCGAAGTCGCAGTATGGAGTAATTCCCGAATGTCCGCATCCCCTGCTAGATATGATGTTGACCAATTGCGAACAGTATTTGCATGATGTTCAGATCCTGGAGCCACTGATAGCTAGTGACTACTGGTGTTCAATGGAGTCAGCCTACAACTGCTGAAGAACGAATTTCGATAGTCGACTAGAGTCGTTATTCAAGTACACTGGTCGCTGCCTCATGATTAATCTGTCAAAAAAGTGGGTATGAAAGCGGAAAGCTGGACCAGTGAAGCCACATTGGTTCGACAAGGAGTATGGGTCAGTTAGCTCGAACGCGACGCGTACTATGGCATAAATTCTTTCAGTTTGGTTCTATCGATGATTGCGAGGTGTGCAAGAGATGGCGGAATTTATGCGACAACACAAAAGCACAGGAGCGTCGGAAGTTCGAAGAGAAGCTTTTGGCCGCAAGAAAAACGGCCCCCAAAAGGATCTTTGGTTACGTGAAGTAGTGCCTGTGGTCTGTAAGTGACAAGCCTGTGTTACAGGGTTAGGAGGGACAGCAATTGACTTCCAGCACTGAGCGTGCACGCGCATTGGTGACACACTTCGCTTCCGTACTTGCAAATGGCCAGGCATCTGTACGAAGTTCAACAGGTGTAACCGTTACCGTATTCCACAGCGTGGATTACAGTGTGAAGGATGTACGCAATCTACTTTGCAGTCTTGACGGTACGCAGTCAGCCGTCCCTGATGGGTCCAAGCCACTGACCAACAATTCTTTATCTGTCATTAGCTCTCCTTCCGTGACTGATCTGTTCAACAGGTGTGGCCCGAGAATGCACTGCAGAGCGACTGGAGATGTTCGGTAGTGAATCCGATTCGAAAGGCAGTAACGTAAGCAACGTGGACAATTACCGGTCAATTTGTCTGACCTCGGTTTTAATCAAGATGCCCGAGAGGATCAAAGAGAAGGGTCTACTGCACCTACTGGAGTCGAAAAATATCGTGACGCCGGCCAAGTAAGGTTTCGCTGTGTCTCATGCATCATGAACTTCCTGGTGACGCGGCATGAGTGGTTGCAAGTGCTGAACCGAGAGAATTCAGTCGACGAGTCCTCATTGATTCCAGTAAAACACTAGATAAAGTGAACCCTGAGTTCCTCCTACACAATCCGAGAAGATATACAGTGCTGGTGGTTCAATGCACGAGTGGATCAGTGAATTCCCTAGTGGGCGAATGTGCAGGATACAGGTGGATGACCATCCAATCGCGTGGTATTTTACCAATAGTAGCGTACCCCATGGCACAGTAGTGGGGCCTATTTTGTACCTAATTCCCATCAACGAAATACTTCAGCTTGTTCGGCCAACGTGTGCCTTGTTTGCAGGCGATCTAGATGTATGGAGAGAAACTGATGCTTCCAGTGACTGCGACGTGTTTTAGTATGACTTCGACTGCCTGTCAATGTGGTCTGCAGGTGTCGATATACTGGTCAACCCACTTAATTCGTCCTTTATGAGCATGGCGAAGGGTGATGATGGGCGTATGTGTACACTCTGGTCGGCCAACCACTGTACCCCAACATCTTCTGTGAAGGACATAGGCGTACTCTCATGATGCGATTTGAAGGTGGTGGATAACACGAACATGCTGTATGGAAACGGATTGTGCATACTTCTGGACGATCAAAAGCAGTTTCTGAACTTGATCTGAAGAGATTGCCGCTCGCCTCTTTTCAATTGTAAGATCAATGTTCGAATGAGGCCCACTCGCTAATTGCCCAATAACCGGTGGCCAGGTGTAGAGACTGGAACGTATTCAGCAAGTTATTATCAGGCTCATTCCCAGTTTACGGAGTATGTCGTACGAAGGATGAAGCAGGAGACTGAGGCTATACACCCTGTTATATCGGCGGTTTCAAGTGGTCTTAATGATGATCCACCGGATATTACATCTGGGTTACTTGTCTATGCTAAGGACGCTTCTGTAGGTGTGTATATTAAGCAACACTCATGGACAGCGGTATAGGCTTGTAGTATCGGACATGAAGCGGTTAACCCCACGCGTATACTTTGAGCATCGAGTGGTCAAATATTGGAAAAGTATGTCAGAGACAATAGCCAAAGCGAATTGGATGTCGGAAGTTTTGTTGTTGAATGGCTCCAGTGCGTCAGTGTTTGGTTGTCCATAACTGCAACATGAACTCGTAAACATATATCTTGAACAGTTGTCCTCTCATTCACACACTGTATGGTCCGTATTTTGGACAACAGTCGGACAATTTTTCCATCGATAGTAGGCCGGGGCACGCTGTTGTCACGCGACCATTACTAGTCGCGCGCTCGTCAGGGATACGGCGGAGTTGCCTGATCCTGTGCAGATTGCAACCCTTGAACTGTGGATTAAGAGACAAGCACATTATACCCGAAGCGACCACCGCGCACTGTGAATACCAACGTGTGCTCTAATATAATCAGCCCTAATACAGTTGACCACCCTGACAGCTAGAATAGACGCATCAAGTCCATGGTTCCAAAAGGGGAGAACACCATTCTGCAACCCATTAGAAATACTGACGATTCAGAAACAGAGCCCAGTGGTGACACAAGCCACAGCGCGCTCGCTCACCTGAAGTGTATTCGGGCCCGCGTCTTCGATGGTGCTTTTCGCACTAATATGGACGCGCAATTGGTCAAACGATCGTGAGCTTTCCGCCCAGTCGGGTACGCGAGATCCCAGGCAACGTCGGGTGTACGTTACTGTCCCAGAAGGAGTGCGCTGAGTGACGCGATGGAAGTAATGAAGCAAACAGCGAACCTTTTCAATTTTGCGACAGCTCCCGGAGAAACTGGGGGGGTGTGAACAAAGGGAAAATGGGTGGTTGAAAACAAAAGAGAAGGCGGCGTGTAGAAAAGCATGTGAGTGACTGGGATGTTCCGAACACGCGAGTAGCACTGTTTGAGATTTGGCGTGAAATTTGGAATTATTAGCTGATTCAGTATGGAGGAAGTCATTCAAGTAAAGCTATGGCTCCCACAGTCTCAATGAAAATCTGAAAAGTGAGGATAAGACGACGAAATCTGATAGATACATGCATTCCCCCTGTATGTTCCCTACGTAGCACAGAAGTTACAGTGCTGCTGCTCAAGCTGTGGTCATTAACCGAACTCGTAATTTGCCGGTACATACAACGAAGGCAGCTCAGTCAACGGCGGCCAACTCATAATGCATACACCAATTCGTGTGTGACTGCGGAGCCAGTTACATAGGCAAAACTGATGGAGCTTTGACTTCCGAATAAAGGAAGATGTGTCGATGTTGGTCCTACGTCAAATTGGCCAACATCCCTGCCAGCCGTAAACTCCGCGCTCGCGCGGACCGCCAGGGTCCTCAATAGGTGAACCCCTACTAGTCACGCGTCATCGGAGAGAGCCTGGGCCAGGGTTCACGATTGTGTTACCTCACTCTAATGCCCGCTTATTCAGATTCTCCGAGGCTGATGCAATAAGTTGTTATTCGGTTATTCGTTTGGTCACAGCCATAGTTAAGTATATCGTTGCGTACTGGTTATAGTTACGTTACGAAATGCATGCATCCACCAGTATTTGCTTACTTGTCACACTTCGCAAACTGGTAAAGGGAACGTACCGCTTTACATTTATCAATGAAAATAGTTCAGTCAGCCACACTACACCGGGGTATATGTGTTTAGGGAGAGTTGTAGAGAGCCTAGCGCTGATCAACGTAGGGAGTCAGATTTACACGCGCAAATGAAAGGTGAAGGTGGAAAATAACGTAATGAATTAGTTGGCGGCATCCGGTTTCGGAATTGCCTGTCCCTGTGGCCAGCCACAGAACGCCTGCGCCTACAGAGGGACCATGGGTGGTTTGCGCTGCACCATGCACAGATCCAACCACACACCCCATACCCAGTGTAAGCAAGAAGGAATAAGACCGGGAGGCATGTGCATGGGAACCACGTTTCATCAACGGAGCTGGCCCACACTTCTTCACAGGCAAACACAAGCACGCTGTATTTGGGGAATCAACCGCACACAAGGTGGTGGTTGGACCGTAGTCCGCTCCACACTGAGTGCATGGAACCACTCTTCGAGCCTAACACGGCCACAAGGACCGTGTACCCCGTCCCCTCCAGCAACGACCAACTGTCTCCTGGAGCCAGTATGAACAAGATAGTGGGTAGTAGACAGGTAGGCACCTTGTCAACATGCACATCAAGCGCAGTCACACCGGGGAAATCAAGCAAGAGCCATTCAGTTTAAACGACAAGCTGAAACAAAATAAATCCAATAATGCATACAGATACGGTGGCATAACTCTTACCTAAATTACCATATGAAGTAAGTTGGATAGCAACGAATCCGCGATAAGTAAAAAATGTCCACAAGTTACTTAAAAATGCTACAAACGCAACAAAATTACCGAAGATAAGCGCAATTAGTGTAAGCAACGTGGCCAGTTAATAGAACATTATTCAGGTAGGCAGAAGAAACCAAATAAAGTGGAATGAAATTTAGTCAGCTTAAAATAGACCTAGTTTAAGTGTAAGTTGGTTTAGCCCAACTGCGGTGAAGAAGCATCGAGAATGCAACATCAGCCTCAGCATGGGGCACAACGTAATGAATTACGCACATTGAATTAACCTACACACTGTGTGTAGGAGATTGTCTGTTCGCAGGTAAATCTTTGATACTAACGGCAAGTGTTCATATAAGTCGGAGAAATTTGTGAGGGACACCGAGGATAACAATCATATTCAGACTAGATGAGTAACTGAAATGTGAGATTTAGTCTCGAATTCGAGCAGAGGGGCTTTAAATATCCCGAGTAAGTTGTAGGGAAAGTAGCCGTATCAGTCCTAGTTGGGCGACCCAAATGATCGTTTCGTATCGTTTCCCAAGTACAGAATAGTTGAAACTGAATTCGGATTCACCACGGCTCCGTAAATCCTAACCGCTGGGCAAGCGATAAAGAAAACCACATCAGAGAACTATAGATGAGCAGCAGAATCAAACCGCGAACCAGAGAAAAGACTGATCGTCGGTGAGAGCACATGAACTGAATCAGCTCAAAGCAAACACAGACCTCACCTCATAGTATTTATAACACAATTCACGTAGTAACGCACAGATCTTAGACGAAGGTAAGTTGTCACTTGAGTCTATCCGGTGTTGAGTATATGCAAATCGAGCCGTGTTATGGGGATAAGTGAATTCCCCCTTGGGCGAAGGAGACGCTCATGCTGAAGATACTTCGAAGGTCCAACAACAAAAGGAGCAAGTCTTACTGGCACTTGTTGAGCCAGCTGTGAGTACTTCTCACACAATCAGAAGAGACTATTAGGAGGGATGCCGATTGAATCAAGCAGTGACCGACACAGTCGTCACTGTGAACATACAGATATGAATCCGCACACCAACATGGAAGTGGATCAAGCAAAGCGTGTGATACATTATAAACGGTGATCATAGCGACCCTTGGTGACTGCGTTTTATGGTCACGTGATATCCAACTTGTAATCCTCCGACTTGGTACTGTGAGCAGGAACGTTCTGCAAACAATCGTGGATGGTAGATGGTGTATTTGCGAACGCTCGCTTTGCCACATACGCACATTACCTGTGTGGCTTAGCACCAAAAGAAGTTAAAGAAAAGTGGACATAGCTCTATGCAAGATTCAGCCCTGAAAGTGCGATAAAAAGTTTGCTATATTGGCTAGCCCACTCGGAAACGCGGTAAAGAACGGAATAGCTTAAAGCTTTATCGTCCAAGAAAAAAGGAAGCGCTCGCCCGTAGCGCTGCACTCCAGGACTAGTTCCAGCCCTTGCATTATTCAGGCAGAGATAGCTGAAGATGAGAGTGGTACCAAGTGCTTGGTGGTGACCAATGGGATTCACGAGCAATGCTCGAGATTTGGAGTACCAGGTGTGTGGCTAGACTGCGAAACGCAATGTCAATTTGAGTCCCAATGCGGCCCTTAATACATAGGACTCATCCGAGGAATGCAGTGTTGTTGGGAGAGATCAACATCAAAACCCCTGTAGTTCGGGTGTTGTATTAGTGATCCGAATAAAGGAGATTGATTTCAGAGTTAACCGACAGCTTAATATCGACTGCATGTCACAGTCCACGGACGTAGCAGGTATTTCAAAAACTCAGTAATGATTTCCTAACCACATCGCACTCGTATTTCAGGAATGGTTGAGGCATTGGAACGTGAAACAGGTTGCATTTGTAGCTCCAGCAAAGGAAGGAAACCAGTGGATGGGAGTGAGTAAAGTGGAAAAGTTGCCACTTCGGAAACGGTCTCAGTGATTGTGATGATTGAAGCTTACTTCAACGTGGGTATTGGTCCAAACTGCAAGTGTATGTCGCGGTCGAGAGAAACGCATGGAAATCCACCAATGGATAAAAAGTGTAGTGATAATAACCCGATATGCCACATACCGTATGCGTAAAGCATAAACCAAATAAAATTTCCCAGATGGGAGGGAATACTGAACGATTAAACGGCGGAGTGTAGTCTAGCTACACTTGATTAACTGAATACGGACAGTACCACAATAAATGGTAGCGAAAAATCTGCACTTAAACGGCCACTTCCAGTAGACAACGCAATCTAATAACAGATGGTTTGAACTGTGCTTCTACATACTGGCAGTTCAGAAGGCGAACAACAAGATCCAGTAATTAGTGACATCAAGAAGTTAGATTAAAACCGCAACAGTCATATTGCATCGGCTGATAAAGTCCTTGTGACACGAAGTTTTAGCTGGGCCCGAGAAAGTCTGCAATGCAGTATAAGGAAACAACGGGAGTAAATTAAAATGTAAAGTAGCAGTACGATGGTGAGCTGCACCAATGCTTCACTGCCAAGCGATGCGAAGTCAACCACACACCTGCGCAGATTGGAACCGGTGGATTATATAGCAAACGCCTGCTCCTTCCGGCCGCCGGATGGCATGAGTACATTACGTCGGAAGGCAACGTTATACCCAAGAAGTTAAGTAAAGCCCTGAATTGCCAAAAGGAAACCGAAAAGGATGGCACAAATATATGATAATGGGTCGACTTACTTTGAGTCTGTTGCTGAAGTGGATAGGAGATTGCAAAAGTTGATGTCTGGATAGTTAGCAAACTCCGCAGTACGGGAGCGGCTATTGCGACGAGGAAAGGTGCAGAAAAACGCGTTGGCCAAAAGACTGGCGATTTGAAGTTGACTGAAAGTGAAAGACCAATCGCGACCACGTTGCATCAAAGGAATGGGCTATTTGAAAAAAGGAAGGAGGATATATTCGTAAAAGTACACAAGGTGAATTGCGCGAAAGAGAAATGTGTGCATGCGCAGAAAAAGTCATTTTAAAGAGTTGGTAGAATGAAGCACTCCCACCCTCCGCAGAATGGACCGCCAAGACCAAGACACAAGCCGCAAGTGAGATGGTGTCGACACAAAGGCTACAGCAAGAGCCGATGGAATTGGTGCTGACGAATGGGGCAAGCGTTGTTCGATGAAGCAATCACTTTCAGCCGACGGACATCTAAACAACAATTGTAGTCTGGTTATCCAGGCATTCGAGGGAAGCGAGTATCATAGGAACAGAAGGCCGAAAGGGGCGATATTTTAAAATCTCCGTTTTTACATGATGAACTGTTCAACATTCCGCGCTTAAGCTATAATTTACCGCATATAATCTATAAGAATCACAATAATTAAGTCAAAAATATATCGCGCTAGATGAAGAAATGCACGTTAAAAGAAAATAATGTGAAGCATGGGCGTACCCATCATACACTTAGCTCTAGTATCCGATCAATTCTGGGTAAAAGGGATAAGATCACGAGTACAATCTGCTGTCGCGAAGCGCAATCAAGCCAAAAAAACCTTGCTCCATGAGGACGTGGACGACGCGGTGATTGGAGAACTTATCCGCCATCGTGTCGGTTGCGATTTAAATGCCGTAACAGCAGTGAGGGTGTTAGCGCTTAAATTAATCCTTCTTGATGTGGGTCGATGGAAGCCATTTTTCGCCTCTCTTCACAACACATCAACCGTTTAAGATTGAAATGCACGTCAGGATGTTTCAGTCGAAACCGATCGATGTTACTTTCTAATAACTGAATTTCGCCAGGCTGTACCACTTCTAAAGTGGAATTTTATGATAAACTTATCACATCTATCATCCACCACCTTGATTATACTGTATTTCTGTTAAGGCCTTCATCCCAGTAGTTCGCCAGCTACATAGCACACCCTAGCCCGGAAAAGCACCAGACGCCTTTCGCCCTATTGGAGCTCGTCAGTGGTGTGCATTCCCTCGGTCCCCTACTGGGGATCGAACCCATGACCGCTCGAGGCAGATGCCAACTAGCCAGCAGCTTAAACCACTGAGCTGGGCTACATAATTTGCAAACTAACTGGGATATAGCACCATCTATATTCCACCGTCACTGAGAGTGGCTAGTCTGCGAGGTGATGATGTATTCTGACTAGACGCTATATTCGTAGCATTTGAAACTAGGAGAAGCTACCTATTTTTATGTTACTCGGGAGTAGCAGGATTTTTAGTTGTAATCTGGTTAAGGCATGAATGGATGGTCTTAATAAAATTACAACTAAAAGCCTGCTACTCGCGAGTAAAATACGAATCCCGGATCACGGTTGGCAGCATGCGGTTTCGGAATTGCTTGTCCCTGTGGCCAGCCACAGGACGCCTGCGCCTACAGAGGGACCATGGGTGGCTTGCGTTGCACCATCCACAGATCCAACCACACACCCCATATCCAGTGTAAACCCGAAGGAATAAGACCGGGAGGCATGTGGATGGGAGCCACGTTTCATCAACGGAGCCGGCCCACACTCCTTCACAGGTAAACACAAGCACGCTGTATTTGGGAAATCAAGCGCACACAAGGCGGTGGTTAGACCGTAGTCCGCTCCACACTGAGTGCATGGAACCACTCTTCGAGCCTAACACGGCCACAAGGACCGTGCACCCCGTCCCCTCCAGCAACGACCAACTGTCTCCTGGAGCCAGTATGGACGAGGTAGTGGGTAATAGACAGGTAGGCACCTTGTCAACATGCACATCAAGCGCAGCCACACCGGGGAAATCAAGCAACAGCCAATCACTTGAAACGACAAGATAAAATAAAATAAATCGGATAATGCATACAGATACGGTGGCATAACTCTTCACTAAATGGGCGTATAAAATAAATTGGCTACGAACGAATCCGCGATAAGTTAAACAGGTCAAAAATATATTTGAAGAAAATGCCACAAACGCGAAAATGTTATCAAAATTAACTACAATTAGCTTCAGCGACGTGTGCAAGTTTATAGAAGATAGTACAGGCAGACATTAATATGAGAAAGAAAAGCATTAGGACAAAATCGTAAACCCACCACCTGAAATAATGAGACTTAGCATGCAAGCACGCGGTTAGTAAATCCAATGCAGCGTACCTACAAACGCTGCGCCGGTTCTACCTACGTTCTCTGCAGGACCCGTCGTCGCTTCGGTGGTGGTCCCGAGTGGCTTCGCTCATGGCTCACTAAGCCTGCCTGACTAAGGCACTCGCGACCGCATGTGCTACAGCACAATGCGCTCTTCCTCAATCTATACGCGTTGCACCAGGTGGTGCAACGCGGTCAACAACGCGGGTCCGCCGTGTTTCATTACTTCAAGCGGGATCCCGTCGGCTCCGGCACATTTTCCGTTTCGCAGCTGAGCAAGTGCTCTCTCCGTCTCATCTAGTGTCGGCGTGTCTGGAAGACACATCTTCACCTCGTGCATCTACAGGTCGTTCAACGTAGGCCAGTCAATCTACGAACGGTTGTTCAAGAGACGGTCAAAGTGATTTTGCCAGATCTGCATTATGTCTGCAGTCTGTGTGCAGGTAGCGCCTGAACTACCATCGATCAGCGTCCTCAACTGTTCCAATATTGGTCTATACACCGCCTTCAAAGAGTCAAAGAATTTCTTGTGTTGGCGGCGTTCGGCGTAGCATTCCATCTGCTTCGCCTTCTTCGTCCACCATGCATTTCTATGCGACGGAGCTCTCGGGTCAGTCGCCGACGTAGTTTGCGGATTTGACTACTCTTCCCCAAGTCACTGGGATCTACCACTTGTGCGGCAAATGCTGCATTCTTCTCCGACACCAATGCACCAATCGTCTCGTTGTTCTCATCGAACCAATCAGACCGCTTACAGTTTGTGCACCCGATCGTCTGCTAGGCAGCAGCTGCCACCTGGTCACGAATGTGGTGCCACAGGTCGTCCACTGTGGCTATGCAGTCCACATCACACAGGCGTGCAGCCATCGCCTTCTCCAGCTCAGTACGTTTCGCTATAGTACCGAGGGAGAGAATGTTAAATTGACGCCGATTCACGGCGGGAGTGCAATACATAGATTTACGAAAATATATGTACAGTTTGATCCGCACCAATTTGTGATCAGTGCCACACTCAGCTCCACGCAGTACACGTGTCATGCGCACTTCACGCATATAACGATGACGTACGATGACACAGTCGAAAAGGTGAGTAGGACCACTCCGTGGATGCGTCCAAACTGCTATATCACTCGCACTCAGTGCAAACCGAGTGTTCGTGATCGTCAGGTCGTGAGTGACACACAGTGAGAGCAGTCCGTCACCGTTCGCATTCGCTGAACCAATGCCATGTGAATCGAGCACATCTGCCCACACCGATGCATCACGCCCAACGCGCACGTTGAAATCACCCAGCAGAAATAGTCGGTCGCTCCTCGGCACAGACCGTATCACAGAGGACAGCTGAGTGTAGAACTGATCACGCGTGTCATCAGGATAACACATGGTCGGACCGTACGTGCTTATGAAAGTGGTAAACTCACCACTTCCGAGTCGTAGGCGAACAATCATCAATCGCGCGCTGATCCCTGTTGGTTCATCCAACAGCTGGCCATGGAGGCGATCGGATATTGCAAATCCGACCCTATGTGCACGTGGTGCCGAGGCGGCGTTGCCCACCCAGTAGAATGTGTAGCCAGTACCCGCTTCATGCAACTTACCTTGCTCAGTGAGCCGGGTTTCACTGAGCGCCGCAATATCGATGTGGCAGCGCGCTAGTTCCATCGCGACTTGTGCAGTGCGTCACTCGGGCCGCTTACTTGATTTCCGCTCCAGTAGTGTGCGCACGTTCCAGCACCCGATGCTGAGTGCTTTGCGCGCAGGCATACGATTGCATTGGTGGGCAATCGCACGCGAGGTGGCGGATGTGCTTCGGAGGTTTGTTTGAGGGACTCCGCCCGGAGCCTTTGGCTCAATAGCCTGACCCACAAGGCAGTGGGGAGCAGATCCAGCTCGGGAATCTGATTGCAGACAGATTGGGATCTGCTTGATGACCGTTACACACAGTTTTTGAGGTACTGGAACGATTTTGCGACCGTAGTAGGATACATCAGCGATTACGGCCAGACGCAGGTGTGTTTTGGCGGATATGCACCAATTTGGCCAGGGGCTGCCTGCTTTGAGGCGGGCAGTAGCAGACCATTGAACACCCGGAGGTGCCCTTCTAGCTTCCGAGACAATGCGTAGCGCTCGTGCTCTACGTCAATCGAGTTATGAGCTTATAAGCCGTAGACCTGTTGTCTACCATCGTTAGGTTTTGCGGGAAGAGGGCCATTGGCCACTTCCTAACCTTCGGAAGAGGATGGACTAGGATACTGGCAGGACGCCCACATCTGACAGGAGATCGACTCGGGTCCCAGCCAAAGCCTTTGATTAAATGTACACCTGAAAGGCAGCGAGTCTAACACATGGTCAGTTCACTGACTCATGCGGATTGGTGTCCTGGATCTTAGCAGAGAGAAGGGGGTAACCCAGCTCCCACCAAGCAGTCGCCAGGAAGCGTTCAGGACATGAGCCAATGGCACGACAGTAGCAGCAGTGGGTAAACCATCCGTCCGGATCTAGCCATCCCCAGCCTCAGCGCACCATAGGTCATAGAATGTTGTAAACCACCACCAGACTAGAAGCAAACAGACCTGATATTTGCAGCGCTTTCCTGGATGTGTGGTGGCTGTCTGTCAGTGTCTAACTGCGACGAATCTACACAAAGACCTGATATTTGTTTATAATGCGGTTCTTTTCTGTGTACAATAGGGCACTCCAACGTCAAGCTTTCACTTGATGCCTACAGCAAGATAAACCATACTGGAGGCCGTTAGCTCTGTATGGATCACACGTTCATACGAAACTAGTGTTCACCACAAAACACTGATCGACCAGTGGAAGTGGTTGCATCCACAGATGTTAGATTATTTTTACATAGATTTATCTATATATTGTGGGCAGTGAACGAGTTATCTTTAACTGCTGTATCGATACCTGCTGTCCACGAGAGACAATGTTCATCCGTGCCGATCGGTTCACACCTTCATACCTAGAACGGTTGCATGGACACAAGAAAGCCGTCAAAAGTAAAGGTCACGCTCCAGGAAAAAATTTTCAAACCTATCAATTTGCACCAGCCTAACAATATATGGACCCAAATAACACTATGAAGTTATAGCTGCCGGGAGACAAAGCACACGCCGAAACAATTAAGTGGAGTGTGCCACCGAGTGTCGAATCTAGGCGTGGATAGCTTGAACCGCAACTTTCTCTGCTTCGACACTGATTCTTTCGTCAACCCATCTCACCGCTAGTGTGGATTGGCCTACAACTTCATTATCTTCCCAATGACAGCGAAACAATGCAGAATAAAACGTTGCAGCGATATTCCAGCAAGACAAATGGACAGGACGAAGTATTTCCGTTGTTCTTGTGGAACGCGCTGATTCCATATTGCAGCCATTTGCATCCTCATGATTTATCCAAAACGTATAAAAACGTAACGACATTCGTTTCTGTTTACATAAAGGAAGTCGTTAACTGCAACTTTCCATGGAATGCCTGAGCTTCACAAAAAATGCCGAAGTATGACATTTGGCCACGAATACTCTTAGTCACTTCGTGGGAATAAAGTATTCACAAAAGTCAAGATGCCTTTTTTCTACGCTGCTCGCCCGCGATCCACATGTTCCCCCGCAATTTAGTACTGCGACTTATCACTGCATGCGTGTTACCTCACTGGACTTAGTGCTTCCACGTAATGTTTCGTGGCCAAAGCAATGGAGCAATTGGCTCGATGCAGCGGTAGTCAAAAGCAGACCATTGCTGAAATTCTTGTGTCTATTCATACAAGTTCGGTGTCGTGTATCTGGTGCAGGAAGAGCGAGTGAACCGCTTAGCACCATTATATCACGCAGCAGGCTCCGATGGATAGGCCACGTGTCGCGCATGCTAACCTACCGACTCTCGCATGGTGCGTTGTTTGCGCGCCCGGGGTGTGGATGGAAGAAGAGGAGGGGTGGCCAAACGATGACTTGGTCAAGAGGAATAAAGGCCCTTAGTTCGGAGTTGGCGTCAGTTGGTGTTTCCTGACTGCTGGGATGGGGTCCGAAGAACGATGAACGCGTTTGGTTGGATACACTAGTTGACATGGCCAGGAGTCGACCCCAATGCATAATGTGATTATAGCTTTTGTAGTCTGTAATGTTTAATCTCTTATCTTTTTTGTATTGCGACACATCAGCTGAAGTGTGTCTCTCACCCTCGACTGAGGTGTATTGATGATGAGGAGGAGGACACATCAGTTTTGGCAAATGGCTTGCCTCATAAAATACGCACCGATGCAAGTCACTCTCTTCATGGTACAAGCAAGTTTGTATTGTAGTTATATCGCCTCGTATGCCACTTGTTAACTAGCTTTTGTATTTACGTTTATTAAAGTTCATCCTTTTTACAACGTTGAAGACGTGTGAGCGTGTGTGACAACTGTATACTCCTCTCCTTGGCGTGCAGAGCACTTTGTTAAATTAACCTGAATTGAACAGTGAATAACAAAAATAGGCACCACACGCCAGTAAAGAAATGCCACATCACACTGTACTGTGGAGAAACACACCGGTTGCGGAAAATTATCTGTGACTTAGTCGACATTAATGTGGCGTAAAGCAACCTCAGAGAGTAATGCAAACGCCGAACTTAGCTTATCTTCCTTGCCAAAGCAAACGAAATAAGGCAGCTAGCTCACAAGCACAGATTGAATATAGCGTGGTTTTCAAAATGGATTGTGAAAAGGATACAAAGTGCAAAAGAAAATGAAAGAGGTTCTTCATCTCCAACAATACCAGTGTGTGTTGAATTCAGGTTTTAAATGGTAAACGAAACAAAAAGGTTTCAATGTATTAGTCCCAGCAGCTCACAAGCTAGATAGTTCAACCCACATCCGGACAAGCACCAGGCGCGCGTTTCGTACTATTGCGGCTCGTCAGTAGTGCGCATCTTTCGGTCCCCTAATAATGTGTCAGCAGTACGCCGTAAAGGCGCTTCGCTGCCGCGCGACCACCACCAGTCGCGCGCGGGCTGAGTATACCGCGAGGACGCCCACCCCTACGCGGATTCGAACCGGTGACCTTATGATTGCAAAGCAAACGTGCAGACCACTCGGCCACCGGCCGACCATCGACTATGTGGAAGCCATTGGTTCTGTCGAGTCACAGTCTTCATTGTCCTATTTACATGATGGACGAGAGAAGAGGAAGTCAGTCAAGCGCAAGGAAATGTCATCGTAACTAGCCTCTACGCATGACGATTTAACGGGCCAGATTTCACAACTGTAGCCTTTCCTAGTTTCAAATACAAATGCCCTAGTCAAGTGCGATGTGCAGTGTAAAACTCATAACAAACGAGATAGGACTAAAATAATAAACGGTGTCGAAGAAATGCATTTATAGTCGTCACACTTAGGCCCACCTACGTAACCATTACACATCCGGAGAAATGACGGACGGTCGTCTCTGCTCCACTGAGATTCAGAAACAGCAGTTGTTTTTCACGAATCTCCCTGCTTTGAAAACCAAGACTACGCAGCGCGCACGCTCAACAACCTAAGCCGCACGGAGTCATGAGTAACGCACTGTGGTATACTGCGTCTTATCCCACTTTTGCCATGCATGTAGATGACGGGGTTGATCATCAGAAGAGCTACTTCCCGAAGTCGATAGCAGTCAGTTAAAACTAAAAGTTACTCAAGCAGCAAAGGATGCAGTGCGATGTAGTATACAGCGTGTAAGCTAGTTGCACGGGTCCTAGCTGTCAAACTTAACGTGGTGACATAAGTCATTGACCTGCAAGTTGCATGGTTTGACGTGCTAACCCAAAAAGACCTGAGGGAAATGGCAGTTGCAAGCGAGTTCAAAGTGGACAAAAATGCCAACTATCACCTTGTCGGATTTATGATGTCTGAATGACGCGGTCTCGTGTGACGAGTTTAATTAAGACAGGACTTTGATGAAGAAATGAGGAGCAAACACAAAATGTGTGACATCCGGAGCACTGGTTTTATCCTAGAGGGTTTCATATACAAGCTACGCTTGGTTTACTTCGCAGATGACAGGCAAACCTTTTATATGCAGTCGCACAAAATCTAAGGTAGGCCGCCCTGCGGAATCGCCCAATCTACTTGAATCGGTAAGTTCAAGGAAACTGTAGGGTCCACGGACCGCGTAACCCGAAGTAGGTGAAGGTGACGGATGAAACCGCGTACGCGTGGGGATTGGTGTGGCCCAATCGACACTACCCAACCGAAGTTAAGTGAAGCAATGAAGCACAAAGGCGCAACGAGGAAGCATGCACCGAAGCAATCCACTTACCTCAGTGAGAAAAACGGGTAAGTTGAGGGCAAGAGCACACATCGCTGGCAAGGTGTGATTGAAAAAGTACTGTTCGTCGCCATCGGGAAGAAGTGCTTGTTGACATATGGAGTGTAAAACGTTGAAGCTCCACAGGTTGCTGAACCTTGAGTTGTATGACAGAATCGCTTCCTGTAGGGGAAAGTCAGGCAAAAGTTGTTAACGAGAAGTGCAAATGATGCATAAGCCGTAAGAATGTTGAACGCAATGTGCAAAGCTCATACTAGCATGGGGGGGGATAAGAATTATACAAAAAGTCGCTTGCCAAGCGCAGAAGTAGAGCCACATCTAGTCGGTGATCGCCAGATTGGCCGCGTTTGCTCAAGTGGTCGGCAATTAGTCGGATGGGTTTGGCAAAGGACGTGACTATTTGGTGTGTGTGTGTGTGTGTGTGTGACAGATGACTCGTATAACAAATGCGATGCGCATCAATCAACTTGTCCAGAGGAAGACATCAGAAAATGCGTAGAAGAATGTGGAATATTAAGTAGCTGCAGAAGAGATTATCACATCGAATAATGGGGAGCATTACAAGTTCATTAAACGCGGAAAACCGGAATAGACTGGTAAAGACAACGAGTAGCTGATTACAAATGAGTAAATATCAGGTCAGAAATGGACGCATGACAGCCTCTAGTGATGCTGAGAAAACGCCCGACATGGGATTTCAGTGAATAGATGGGATGGTAGAGAACTTAGAGTGAGCAACATGTCTGCTACGCCAATGGAGAAACGGGGGGAAACTGAATTACGAGGACGCCTTTGGGTGCTACATCAAAAACATCGTGTGTCCGCAAGTTACATTGTGTTCAAGTAAATCTCGGTCATTACAAGCACTAAAATGGAATCCGAAGCAGATGTACTCAGCGAATACGCCCCCACTTCAGACACGGTCACAGTGATCGGGGTGGCCGAGAGTTGACCAAAAAGGAATCGAGACCCCAACGGAGAATGTAAGTGCTCTAAAGTCGACCGGTGGCAGACTAGTTTAGGCATCTGGCTTGTAATCAAAAGATTACTGGTTTGAGCCCGCGTGGGTGGGAGCGACCTCGAAGTAACCGCAACTCACACGCGACTGATGGTAGGCGCGTGGCAGCGAAGAATCGGTTACGGTGATGTCATTCTTTCTCAATCCAAAGCCCAAGAGGTCGTTCTGATTGCTGTGACAAGTCTTCCTCGCGTACAACACGGCTGTCTCGTGGTAAAATGCCTACCAAAAAGCCATAACATCCAGAGTCTGATCAACAGATGATGGTGGACAGAACTAGCGTGGGCCGATCCCGTGAACACTTGATAATATAGAAAAATAGTGGTACGCAACCAGTCTACTAAGAGGCCACTGTCTCTGTGAGTACAATCAGACACCATCATCAACCCACTGAGAGGCGGCTCCAATAGCGCACAATCATCAGAGAACCGATGGTAAAAGGCAGGTGAAGTGGAAAAGGATGGTGAGGTAATTGCAGGGTAGAGCAGCGGTGTATCACCCAGGGTGCACAAATTCCGCGTCGTCAGACAACGAAAAAAAAACGCATTTCAGAGGCATGGAAAGCAACAGTCTGATGAACTTCATGAGGTTAGAGGTAGATCATGACCGAGTAAGTTGATATTAGTTACAACCAATGCATGGCTGCGCGCCACCGTCGGTTGAATTTTTGTACTGAATTTGCCCCCCAGCAGTGAAAGTTCATCGGAAAGTACCTGATGCGATAAGAAGACAAATATCTCTAGTATCTATTACAGACCGATGATCCAAAGTCCATAAACTACAAGACCCTAGACGCTGAACCAAATTGAGGCAGTGCATATAACGTTCATTTGGTTGGCCTCTTTATCACAACGAAAGAGCAAAATGGAATAGTATTGTAGTACAAAGGATCAGCGGAAGTGAGTGATCAAAAGGTGTCACTGAATAGCATAATGAGTCAGATGAGGTGAACAATGAGCTGGGAGGATGGCGTGTTCTTGCGAGGTGAAGCAGTAGAACGTCGCCATCATTTTTGGTGTATCCGAAAAGAATATCAATCAGTAAAACAGCAATCTATTGTACAGTAATGGTAAAAGGACCCGTGACGAGGACAACTTGGCCGAAAGTCTCTTGCTAAAAGTGTTGCGTGGGTGCCGCAGGGTACATGGAAACATGGTTATACTGGCCAAATCAAGCATGAAATCGATCAGGAAACTTTCTCAGTTGGCCACGGTGATCAATAGTAAACTAAACAAGAGGCAATTGGGAAACACAACAGTGAGTCATTTTCGAACACTAGCGGATCGGTCCGAAAGGTAGTTCTCTCATACCACTAAAATACACAGATTAGCAGACGCAAAAGAATAAAGGCGCTGGTATTGTGTCAGTATCCAGAATCGTCGGTGAATTACCACAAAACGAACGGCAGTTCTGAACCGGTGACTCGTGGATTACAAACCAAATGCTTGAAGCACTTCGCAACCTATCAGATGAGCAGCGAGTTTCTCATCAACATGTGGAATCTAGGTTGCGGAAAAACGAGTTTCTTGTAATGCTACCGAGCTTCTTGCTAAAAGGAGCCCTGTACTTCAGGTTAGAAGCGAGAGAGCTCAACTGGCGTACTCAAAAATAGTTCGACCAAGTGAAATTAGGTTGCTGGGATGTATGTTCGTCGATGTCGCCGAGATTCTTAAGAGGTTAGGAAAGAAAGGCATCAGCTGTACGCCAGTACGCAGTACCGACGCTTCGTTGCCGCGCAACCACCACTGCGAAGGTCGCCCAGTCCCTACACAGCCTCGAACCCGCGCCCTCAGATTACAAGACAAGCTTGTGATCCTTAATGCCAGCAGGTTAGGAGAACACAATGAACGAAAGAAGTAGTATTCACGTACTGAAAAGCTCTCACTACCATTCATGTAATTAGCCGGTGTTGCTAGAAATTCGAATAGAGTTGGACTGCGGTCATCCACATCGAAAACACGGGAAACGCGCCCACAGTTTTGACGACTCTACATGCACCAGAAATATGTAAAAGTCCGATTATTATCACCTCCTGAAACGTAAAAGTTGAGCATACCTGAGCTATATGTGATGTGTACTACTTCCAGACCAACCCACTAAACATAGACAGATCAGAATGTCTCGAAGGATGTTTAAGTACAAAAGACTGGCCAAACAACGTCAACTACGTAAGTACAGAGCCCTAAGGACCTCATCAGTGAAGATGCGATACTAGCAACTTCGTTATGTAAAGGAAACTGAACGTCAAAATAGTTGACCTTACTTTTAATTCAGTCGTTGAAGTGACCCGTTGTCTCAGACAATTTTCAATCAAAGCCCAACGTGAAACAATAGTCTTTCGCCCATTCTGGAAACGTGATGAGTTAGAAAATTGTCCTACTTCATAAAGAGGATAGAGACTCTCAGGTGAGCATGGCAAACGGACAAAGCCGCTAGACCATTTGTCGACCAAGTTGCTTGGATGAGGTACCAGAGGAAATTTCGGAGAACCTTTAGAACACTGCTGGAAATCGAAGTAAGATTAGTGGGTACTTTGAAAAATATCTTGTGATCAGTACTGGGCGTCATTGGGGGGAGGTTCCCAGTCGATATACGTAGGTTTTCCAGTGGTTCACCCTGGTGTTTTTTTGAGTGCATAAATTAAAACCATATACTCACTCTCCAGTTAGCGTCCCCCTGTTCATCAAGGCTGACCATATGATTCTCCCTACTTTGAAAGTCAGCCATTACCAAACAGTGCCTACCCTTCGGTGCAAACTGAAAGCTCCTCGAGTGTTGGGCTAGTATTGATGCATGTGGCTTTAAAGGGACATCAAGCAGGTGTAGACAAGTTTACCAGTGGCTTCCATAGTCGATAAGCTAAAAGGTCAAATTAACATGGCAGAAGATAAGACAAACCTGGAAGTAGTCTCCACATGACCGCGAACGCGATGAGCTATCAGTATAACATGAAAGAGAAACACAATACCTCCAAAAAATCCTTCCTCGAGTGTAGTTTGTCGCAATCCAAAAAGTACTGATGGTGTGTTTTTAGCTGTCATTTACATGCCTGCGAAGCGAGAAGAGGAACACTGGTGAAGGAGTAAAACCACAGACGCAAGAAAATTCCACAACAAAGTTCAAGTTCAAGGGGGACTGGAGCAGTAGGAGAAATTCTCGTGAATGTTCCTTCCGTGGCGCGTCGATGATCCAGGGTATTGTTCGTCCGCGATAACTGGAATCTAGAAAAGTCAGATCAGCGAGCGCGAATCACACCACGGTCGACTAATTATTACCCACGCAACCTGCATTAGCAGTCCCCGCCGCACCGGTCACGTGAAATAAGAAACATAAGTACGAAAGTAATAAAAGCGTTAAGAACCAAAAAGTAACAGATTTAATAATTCAATTAGGCGCATAAGCTGGGATGTGAAGTGGAATGTCAAGAAATGAAGGCCAATAGCGTCAAGTCGACGTTCGAACTATTTCACCGTTAGTGCCGATACGATGTTTTCGGGCAGTGTACTCCAGGAATCCACCACGGCGTGATAAACGAAAGTCCGCCCGGACTCCATCCGATCGAGGTTTGTGTAGCTTCATTGAGTGACCTCGGAGAGATGGAAGCCGAACCGGTTGGAAAAGCCCGGATAAAGCGGGTCCGATTTTACTGGTAAGTATACGATAGGTCAAGATCAGGTCGCATAGATGGCGATGATAATGCATTGAGAACATTCCCAGTTCAAGTAGCCTTTCTGGGTAAGAAAGGTTCTGTAGTCCATGAACAATTTTTGTTCCAGCTCTCAGCACTCTCCACTGACATCCTGTCCCTGAATAAGCAAGGTAGACAAGCCTGACAAAGGCTAAGAATAACCTAACAGACATATCGCCTGTGATAATCCCGAATGCTCTGCGGATCATCCTCAACATTCTGAAACCCTTGCACGTAGCTTTCCTCCAGTTCTCACTGGATTTAGGTTCAGAAGACAACGTGACCCCTAGGTCTACTAGTTGGGAAACATGCCGTAGTTCATTCCTGCCAAGCAGGCAACGCGTTTGGGGTCATTTGGCCCTAATAGTAAGAAGGAACACTGCATAATTCATGGGCAACTGCTACAGAGCAGCCCAGTCCCAAATGTTATCGAGGGCCCGTTGCAGAGTCTGAGGTCTATCGAGGTCGGACACTGTGTGCCAAAGCTTTAGGTCGTCTGCAAACATGAGAAAGAAATCAGTAGCAATATGATCCTAGTAAATAAAGTATAGGGAAAAAGAGCTGATAAAGCCGTAACGAATGATAGAAGTTCTCCATTTAGACAGAGAGCAGTCGGTTTATTAGGACTAAAAAACAAAGCTGGATCGGAGTCGTGTCTAGTACATAAACAAGAGATAGGGTGCAAAATATAATGCTTCCAGCATCTGGGAAAAGACAAGCTGGAACATGGGTAAATAGGCAGTGCAGTCCATTTCGGTTAGACAACTATGATCCGAATATCGAAGCGTGGTGGATCCAGTTATCACAACTAGTGTTGAGAAGATAACAAAAAACAACAACAGTAAACTCAAGTCCTACACCATCCAAGAAGACAGCCACCCAGTGTAGGGCGCGGCCAGATACCCCTTGTCAAATGCTTTCGAGAAGTCGACGAAGAGCACGTCCAGTGCGTGGCCATTATCCACTGCATTCGCCCAACTTTCGCAAGCCACCAGTAGATTCGTCAGACACGAAAATCTCTTCCGGAATACATGTTGTACATTGCTAAGCATATTAAATCTACTCAGATGACTCTCCAATGAATCTCTTAACAGTTTCTCGAGGTGTTTGACTGCTACACTCGTCAGACTAACTGGTCTGTAATTTGCAGGCAAACTCCTGCCCCATTTTTGAAGATGGGACAGATGACAACAGCTTCCTTCCATTCGGAAGGCAATGCACGGTTGTCAAGCGATTTCTGAAACCCTGTAGTGAGCTGTCCAATTAGTTCCGCAGCCAACACATGCAACAGTTTCGGGTGAATTAAATCAGGCCCAGAGGGCTTAAAAGGGTTAAGCCCTTGTAACAACCTACGAACTTCCGTCTCCGACACAATAAATTCAGACAGTCCTGAACCCACTGGGATCCCGCAAACAAGATCAACGCCTGTCAAAGAGGTTTCCCTTAAAAACGCTGATGCATATTGCCCACTAAGTACGCAGATCTTGTCATAGTCCGTATGCGCATGAGTACCGTCATCACGCATCAACACTGGAATTGACATGTTCGAACCGCAGCGCCTTTTGACATCTGCGAAGAATCCTTTTGGATTCTCTAAAGCTTCCTCTGCTAACCCTTTCTCGAGATTGAGCCAAGCATTCCTTAGGTGTTGCTTACAACTATTTCTAGTCTTACGGTACCTGTCATAAATATCGTTGGATGGAGCATCTCGGTAAGTCTGCCAACATTTAGATCACTTTGTGAGCAGATGCCTGCCAGTGGAATCTATCCAAAGCGGCTGTGCTCGTCCCGCCTTTCCCTTTGTGATGGGGATGAAAGGAGCAGCGACCTCTGTGAGGTAGGACTTAAGTTTATCCCAGGCAACCTGGACATTATCATCGCCTGAGATCTAACAACGGAACCCCAAGCCTTGGCTCTCATTGATTGATAGTCTGCGTGTCATATGTTCGGAAGAGACTCAACAGTACTCTGGTAGCGTCCAGACGGAGTACAACTGAAGAGTAAACAAACATGATCACTGGAACCCAGTGAAGGTCCGTAAGTAATGTCACAAACAAAATCAATTGACTTAGCAAATACAACGTCTAAAATAGGTGGTACCTGGGCGTCCACGTGCTAGTGGGGAGGTCAATGAACGGATGCAACGGTAGTTGGAACGTAAGCTTAAGTGCCGAATGTGCCTGACGCTGAGTTGCAAGAAAGGTCAACATAGCAAACGTCTGGGAGGTTGAAGTCGCCCATAACCAAACACTTGTTTGCGGACTGGGAGCGAATAAAGTCAAGTACCTCTTGGGATACGCTCCCAGGGCTTCTATACACAATTACAAGGGTAACCTGAGACGAGAATGTGCAAATCACAGCCGACAGAACTTCAACAATTTTGTCTGCTGACTGAAATAAGAAAGTCTCCAAAACGTCAAGTCTACAGCTCACATAAAGTGCGATGCCTTCTCCCTGCCGGCCAGCGGAGCGATCGCATCTAAATAGTGTGTAGCCAGATAGATGTACTTCATCATCCGTGATGTTCTGAGACAGCCACGTTTCAGTGAATCCGAGTATATCGGAATAACACCCATCCACAAGCAGACCCAACTCGTACACCTTATTCCTTAGGCTGCACACATTACTTAGTACCACCTAAAGGTATTCGTTAGGCCCAGACCTGGGTCGTACACTACCAGAATGGGTAGTGGTAAGGCGGTAAAGGACCACAGGCTGATCACTCGAAAACCCACTAACCGGAGACCCTGTTTAACGACCGCTCGCCTGCTTTTGAGGTCCTTGATGGCCCCTTAACTTCAGCTTATCGACCAGCGGAAGGTCCGGATAAACACTAATATTAGTACCTTTCAGCTTAAAAACAAACTGCATGAGACCGTTGCGTTCTTCCGGGGTAGAGAGTACAACACGAATTAGTCGCAGTCGAGGGTTTGGTGCATTAACTAATACGTTCCCCAGTCTAATCAGCTTCCTGACAGTAACGCCTGGAAAATCAGGAAGAAGAAGCTTCGTTACGCACATTTTAAACCATTGAACGTCGTCCAACATAAAAGAATAACCACGACGGGGTGTATTAACCCCATGAGTCTTTGATTGGACACTTGGAGCGGGTGGTTTCATCACTGGTGATCGGGCTGTCTTTATCCCCTCAGATGATGTAGCAACGGCAGCATATGCTTTTCGCACCATTGTCGATGCCTTACATTTTTCGTGTCAGCGATTCCACCGAAAGGCTTTATTTAGTCTGTTTTTTCTGCTTGATAACCGGAGCAAGGTCCCGTGACGCTTTGTCGCTTTGAGAACAATCAAGCAAACCGTCAGAACGTGCCTTCTCGGTGAGAGCCGTGATATCTGTCAGCCTCGACTGACAAGTAGTGCATGTGGGAACCTTCGTCTTCGCACAGCCGTCAGACGGTTTGAGAAGTGACGACACTCGGCTTGGTTCCGGTGTCGAGACAACTACAACTTCTTGTTTAGTAGAGAGCTTACAGTGTTTTCTGGCCCTCTTTCGCCTTACTCGAAGGGAACCTTGAACCAGAAATTCGGCGTCGATCAGGATAGCTTTAGATATGACGTCCGAAATAGCTTCATTTTAGTGGTCGTCAGCCACCTGGACGCGTAACATAATGATTGGTGCTACAAGTTGATCTCCAGTGTTAGCCATCAGATTTAAGTTGTTGGAAACCGGAAGCGCCGTCATGAGCAGATCAATCTTAAGGCGAAGATCTGAGAGCATCGAGAACGGACGCTCTACATTTCGCAGCCGGGTATCAAGAGATCCACCTCTAGTACGAAAGGTTGCGCAGCCTTGCCGGCGGCTGCAGCAATTGGCACATCTGAAAAGCAACTTTTGCTGGAGGCCAGCGCTGCGTACTATTCGGTATTCAGGTCCGTGCAAAGCTGGTGGTAGGATCGGTTGCAAACATCGTACTGCATACCGCCGGAATCATCAGTTACTGGCATACTGCAGCTTGAACTGCCACAAAGTGCGATAGTCTCAGAAGTCAAGCCACCTGGAAAAACAGCCTCGGTGCACTGCGTGACCGACAGTGGAAAAGAGAGTGGAATTATAACGTATACAATAGTTAGACGACCTCAATAAAAAGGCAAAAACTGGGTGCAAAACAGAATTAAAATTGGGAACAACCGGAAAAATTACCAGTAAGCGCCCAAGACGCTTTGACCAGAACCGCTTTAATCGACCTAGGTCCGGTTAGGTCGTTGGTTGATAGAGAGCAGAAGGAAGTTACTTTGTCAGTTCCGTCACTTCCCGATCGTTGCGAAGGTTGCTGGGATCAATGCGGAACAAGGTTTCGCAGAAGACCGCTGTGGTTGTATTGGGGGCAGCAAAATCCCCGCGGA